CTATATTATCCGCATTTTACAACATTTCGCAACGAAACTTCGGAATATTACTAATTTTGTGATGCTCTTTCAAGCTGTGATGAAATTTTTGTCCAGGCATATCTAGATCAAAATTTCACTCATAAGGGGAAAGGTCTATTATGACATTTCCTATAGGTACCGATAATCATGAAAGAAAAGCCTTCAGTTGTGAAATCTTTGGATTCTGGCCATAATTAATATACCAGTTGATTGCAAATCTTCTTCAATGTTTTATAAATTCAGAACAAAGACAAAAAAAAGCAAGAAAGAAAAATCTGTGAAGAAAGAATCAAAGAAAAAGAGTAAAACAAAGAAACAGGAGAAGGGCAAGGTTGAGAAGGAGAAGGAAAAAGTGAAAGAAAAGGACAAGAAAAAAGACAAGAAAACTGAATCTCCAAAACATCAACAAGGTGAATTTTAATCCTTAACCCATTAGAGTGCAAGACTCTCTCCTTGACGAGTAAAATTGTCTGGCATTATGCTTTAGTCATTTGAAACCACGGGCCCCCCACCCCCGGGACATAGCGGGGAATTTAACACTGACCAGTGTTAAAAAACATTAATTCCCCCGTCCTTGGGGCAAACTGTTCTAGACTGTTAAAACCCCCGTACAGCCGGGCTTCAATATACCTAAACTATAAATATACAAGACAAATTCCGCATCATGCATGCATTTGAGTTACCGGTCTTCCGCAACTTTCAGATTGAATTTCCGTCAAGTATTCAAGGTCGGTGTGTAAATACTGTATATAATTATATAGCTATCAATTACATGGCCCTACAAATTAGTCACCAAGTCTACCTCAACTTGCTGTGAGTTTTTTAAGGAGCAAAAGAAAAACTGAGATCTGAAAACGATAGAGCAAAATGTTTAATAAGCGAAAAACCGCCGTTAAGCTGCCCGTGTTTTCTATGACGCGCAGTGCATTTTACTATATTATTCTAACAATGGAAAAGGCGATGCCTGATGCTTATTGAATATTAACAGCAACTGCAACGGATGGCTGACAGGCAGACGATTAAGTATAAAATTTAAAGTTTCAAACGCACGTAACTGTTGAACAAGTTTTTCACCAGTCCCCGGCTATCCCCGGTGTATTCATATATAGCGGCTGTTATATTCCGGGCCAATTGCCCAGTTATATAAAAACATTTAGTTAATTCCACCGCCCTCCGGGGCATAGCACATTGTTAAATAGTACTTAAATCTCGGCTAAATTTTGTTAATCCCCCGCTATGTCCCGGGGGTGGGGGTCCGTGGTTTCAAATGACTGAAGCATTAGACAGAGTAAAAGAATATTAAAGTAGGGTGCATTTGGCCGCATTGCTGCTTAATGGATTAAGTGGCAATGTGCCCTGATGTGCCCTACTTTACTGTTTTACTCTGTCTAACACCAGACAATTTGACTCTGTCTAAAGCCACGTTTACACGCTCCGATTTGTCACGTACAATCCGTATTCTGGCGTATTAAAATGAGTGCTGGCACCATAATTCATTGCTGTTTCGTTAAAAAGAAATTTAAAATGTAGCCAGCTTACGTGTGTTTACTCAATGACATACGCCAGAAAATGAATCGTACACGTACGATTAATCACAGCGTGTAAACGTAGCTTAACACAAGACTGTTGCTAATACTCTATTTAATGCCAGACTGTTTTACTCCATCCAATGCCAGATGATTTATTCCTCAAGAGGAGGATGCTGGTGCTCAATTGGTTAATTAAAAGAAATTGTCATAATGCTTGAAACTTGTTTTATTACCAGCACTTCCAGTGTTTGGAGTGACGATAGAAGAAGCAGTACAACGTAGCATGTTGCCAGATGGAGTGCAGTTACCACGTATCATCAGGGAATGTATTATTCAACTTGAGGACAAAGGTTTGTCTAATAAAAGCATATTTGGATTGAATTGGTCAGAATACATGATCACACAATCATGTAACTCATTTTTCAAGTCATTTATTTATTGCATTTATATTTCCAGGTTTGTCCCAAGAAGGCCTTTATCGTTTGTCTGGTGTAAAATCCAAGATTGAACAGTTGAAAGAGTTGTACAATCAAGGTGAGATATTTTTTCAAACTTTTCCTAGCTTACTCGATTGTCCATTTAAGTGAAGTCAACTCTTTTTCAATTTTGTGAGGAAACACTTGACTATACCAATCACTTATGCTTGTTTTTATGTACGGTATCTTGTAACAGGAAAGAATGCTGACCTTGATGAATTCGAACCAAACATTTTAGCGGGGCTTATTAAACTATTTATACGCGAGTTAGCAGATTCCATTCTTCCCGACGAAATTGCTCAGCGGTTTGAGGAAGCAGCAGGTTTGTCAAGAAGGAGTCATTCATTTTAGGCCTGACAAAAAAAGTCCCTGTAGTTCTGGTTTCCCGACAATTAATTTAGCTCGTGATTATAGAGATTTTCTGCTTTGTTTTCCAGCAATACCAAATAGGCAGGAGAAAATAAATCAATTTAAAATGTTAATTCCCGAGCTACCTGTTCCCAACAAAACATTGCTGTCGTGGCTGATGGTTCACATGTTACATGTTTTGCAAAAGGTAATCTAGCTGGCCTTTAAGTGGCAATTAATGCAGCGTATAATTTTATTTTACTCCCTCTAATGCCAGATGATTTTACTTATGCTGTCTTAATTTCTAGTATCATGTGCAGCATATGAGGTTTCAAAACAGTTGTTGGATGCAATTTTTTTCCATTTTTGTGCAGGGACCAGAAAACAAGATGTCCATACAGAGTATTGGTATTGTGTTACATCCCACAACAGGAATAGCTCAGCCAGTGCTGAATGTTTTATTGAATAATATTTCAACATTATTTGGAGAGACACAGTTAACTAGGTGGGTATGGTACAGTGTGGTGTGTTGTGGTATGGTATGGTATGCTGTGATACAGTATGGTATGGTATGGTATGGTATGCTGTGTTTTGGTATTGTATGGTATGGTATGGTATGCTGTGGTATAGTATGGTATGGTATGCTGTGGTATTGTATGGTATGGTATGGTATGGTATGGTATGGTATGGTATGGTATGATGTGAGATGGGATGGTAATGTATGGTATGGTATTGTATGGTGGTGTTGGATGATGTATGGTATGGTATGGTATGGTGTGGTATGCTGTGGTATGGTATGGTATGGTGTGGTGTGGTATGGTATGGTGTTGTATGGTATGGTATGGTGTGGTGTGGTGTGGTATGGTATGGTATGCTGTGGTATGCTGTGGTATGTTATGCTGTGGTATGCTGTGCTGTGGTATGGTATGGTATGGTGTTGTATGGTATTGTATGGTATTATATTGTATTGTATGGTATGGTATGGTATGGTATGGTATGGTATGGGATGGGATGGGATGGGATGGTGTGGGATGGTAATGTATGGTATGGTATTGTATGGTGGTGTTGGATGATGTATGGTATGGTATGGTATGGTATGGTATGGTATGGTGTGGTGTGGTTTGGTATGGTATGGTGTGGTGTGGTGTGGTATGGTATGGTATATGATATGGTATGGTGTTGTATGGTATGGTGTGGTATGGTATGGTATGGTGTTGTATGGTATGGTCTGGTATGGTATGGTATGGTATGGTATGGTATGGTATGGTATGGTATGGTATGGTATGGTATGGTATGGTATGGTATGGTATGGTATGGTGTGGTGTGGTTTGGTATAGTGTGGTGTGGTGTGGTATGGTATGGTGTATGATATGGTATGGTGTTGTATGGTATGGTATGGTATGGTATGGTATGGTGTTGTATGGTATGGTCTGGTATGGTATGGTATGGTATGGTATGGTATGGTATGGTATGGTGTGGTGTGGTGTGGTCTGGTATGGTATGGTATGGTATGGTATGGTATGGTGTTGTATGGTATGGTATGGTATGGTATGGTGTATGATATGGTATGGTGTTGTATGGTATGGTGTTGTATGGTATGGTGTTGTATGGTATGGTCTGGTATGGTATGGTATGGTATGGTGTTGTATGGTATGGTATGGTATGGTGTGGTGTGGTGTGGTCTGGTATGGTATGGTATGGTATGGTGTTGTATGGTATGGTATGGTATGGTATGGTGTGGTGTGGTGTGGTGTGGTGTGCTATGGTATAGTATGGTATGATAAGCCCAGATGATCTAAAATTCATTTTATTTCAGGTATGAATATTCAGTGAAGCCTGAAGTTGATATCTCAAGTTTATCGACACCTGAGTAAGTGAAGAATGTGTTTATTTGTCTGACGTGTTTTTATTTATCGTGTTGACTCATTCGTTATAATTCCTTGCTCTTTGACAAAACCTTCATTTTCTTACCAGGGAAATAGCGGCTGAACTAACTCGACAAGAAGAAATTCTCGCCAAATTACATGAAGACATGAAAAAGGGAACTCCAGACGAGGTATGCAATAAAAATAAAGATCCATGTTCGCAAACAGGTTACTTTACATCCGCCATGGTTTGTGTCCGAACCACATGAAAAATATTAAAAGAATAAAATAATTTGAGTGAAAGTCTTTCGTGAAGAAGTTTGGAGAGTGTAAGAAAAGACACGTCCCCGTTCGGTAGATACAGAATCCTGCAGTAAGCTCAAGCCTCAAGCTTTTATATATTTTTGTTTATAGACAGAAGATAAAGACGAGGAATTGTGGGAAGTGCAACGAAAAGTCACTATGTTAAAAAGAAAGGTAAATCGAAATAAGATAATTATATTATTTATGAATCGCTCTCCATTATCGCATGATTAAATATACAGCAAAATTCTAAATACAGATTTCTTAAAGCTTTATTACCGGTTTGACAAATTTATTTCGTGATTCTAGTTACGCGTGGCGAAACGTAAACAAGATGCAGAAGTTGTAGAAGAACAGAAAAAGCAAGAAGAAAATAAGCCTCCCACACAGGAGGATGGGGAGGAAGGTAGGATATGTTCGTTTGTATCATTCATTGTTTGCCCAAAGCTCGTGGATAGGTTTGGGAATAAACAAAGTTATAGCCTGCGAACAGGGTTAGTTTAGTTTAGGTTTCCTCCTGTAGTAACAGTGGATCAATATTAAAGAGATGATCTTTACTGGACCTCTAGGAAGAACAGTTTAGAACTGATAGAGCTATCCAATATAAGTAAAGTTAGTTTAGTTTAGGTTTCCTGCAGTAGTAACACTGGATCAATAAGGGATGACTCTTACTGGAACTTTGGGGAGAACAGTTTAGAACTCTTTTGTAATTACAAATTGGGTTTTTTCAGAAACTCTGAAACGTTTGGAACTTGAGGAGATGGAATTGCGTTTTGAAGAAGAGGTTAGTGTACTTGTTGGGATTTAATGCTTTCTGTGATATTTAAAATTCAAAATATACATGAGAATTGGATTTCAAATACGAGGCAGCATAAAAAAATACAACAAAGGCGAAGCCGAAGAAGACAATAGTCATGCAATTTTGATCAACTTCCAATTTCACGTTTATCTCTTACTCTGTGTCGTAATAAAATTTTACCTGCCAAGAAAAACTTGATCAAACTTAATTTCAGTTCTAGAACTTCATCTTAAATACCGTATATGGATTACTCAATATTTATAGAGTATATTAATCCTTGTAGGAATTACTTGATGTGCGAGAACAACTTGAAAGACGCCTTCAAAATGAAAAGAGCGAGATAAACAGACTCGAGGTTTGTTCTTCCAGTTAATTATACTCGTTAAAGTTTATGAGTTTACCACGGCGGCCAGGTGTAGGTTTTTTTTTAAAAAGCTGCAGTTTTCTCCTATTGTAAACTATTGTACAATACCATTAATGTAGTTTTATAAACTGTTGCATCCTCGTAAGCATAAAAGCCTCGGATACGAGGTTGAATCAGTGAACTCCATAAAAACTGGAACGATAACTTGGGCTGTGTTTTTGAAGCCAAGGGTATGTGGCATTAAAATGAGCATTTATGTCTAAAAATTGAAAAACATCGGAAAACTTCTGTCATTTTTCAGCTCTCGCGAAACTCACGCGAAAAACACACGTGTTCTCCGTTCCAGTATTTCTAGAGTTCAGTGGGTTAATCTGTTGCCGTTCTGATTTCTCACATACAGGAAGAAATAACAGAAGTGAACGAAACAAGGGTGAATAATTCTGGAGTAGCTTCAGATCAGAACTCATCTTCCGCTTCAGACGATAGTGAAAGTGTATCCTTTTATGATTTCCCCCCGGTATGGATGCGGCTTAGTCTGGTTGAGGGGGTGGTGGTGGGGGGTGGGGGAGCTGGGAGGGGGAGGGGGTAACCGACCATCGATGGTGACAAGGACCATAATCACAGAAGGAATTTGAGCGCCTGTGCCCGAGCTGTGTGTATAGAGGTGGGAAAAGCTAGATGCTAGGATTCTCAAGCTACTTAGGAGGTTATCAGCCCGTGATAAAAAATATTAAAATGGTCCAACATGACCTTGACACGTGATTTAGGAGGACGATGATGAAAGTGAACTGGAAGAAATTATGAATGAACTTGTCAAACATAACACAGAACTCGAGGTAATTCACTAAGATGACTCGCTGCACTTCAAATGACATCATAACGTTAGTGAAAGGAATAGAATAAGATTGTAGGGGGGGGGGGGGAAGGGGAAGACTTGAGCCCTCCTTGTTATAATTTCATGACCTCCCAATATTTTTGCAGATTGCATAAGCATAAGCTAAGCACTATTTTTGCTTCATGAATAATTCGTGCAGTTCTTAATTGATGCTAGTATTTTTGTTTGCCAATGGAAATTTTGAATCGTCCCATTTATTTTCTTCTAATTTATTTTATCGCAGGAGAAGAATGAGAAGTTATTCAAACAGATTCACGACGAGCAAGAAACCTGTGTCGAACTCAAGGTTCAAATAAGAATGGTCTCTGCTACACAAAAGGAAGAGACGGAGAAGCCGTTCTCGTGACCTGAGACCAATTATCCGCTATGCGTCATGGGATACGTCGATACGATACGACTGGACACCGGGCACATGACCGTTAATCAAAATACGTATGTACAAAGTCACGCACATGTATATAATTTAAGTATACTCGGTTACTTTTGTTCCATTCTATACTACTGTAACTTGCATTGTCACAACAATGGATATGAATTACCGCGAACGGTCCAATCCCGTAGCCAGAGTATGCCCGTTTGCAAGTTGGGCCTAGCACCCAGAAATAATTTATCGAGGAACAGTTATTTAATACTATTTTAAATAGAACATCTTGCATCGTTCTTGGTCCTTGAAAATTTCTTTTGTTTTGTATTCAAAATGTTTCATATTTCTGCAAGTATAAGGAAAATTTCGTGCCATATTTAATCAAGAAACTGACATATATAATTTTTCATTTAGAATTTTTTTGTGAAATATTTAACACACATTTATGACTGCATCAATTATATGAATCAATCCTCTGTAAATAGAATCGGAATTAAACGACAAAATGTGAACGATCACCAAGTGAAAAAAATATAAATAATATTTTCAAGATTGTAATTTGTTACATATTTTCTTTTCACAACACAATTTATTAACCCATTGATCGCCAACGTTCTCCCCTTGTCGAGTAAAATCGCCAGGCGTTAGACAGAGTAACATAATAAACTAGGGGACAATGCAACTTAATGGATTAACTTAACCACTATTGCAACTAGCAACAAAAAACAATTTCACAAACTATCGTCCATTTATACAATATATTTAATCTACATCGATTACAGCAACTCTAAATCACAATTTTCTCCACTTATTTTAAACATTTATTTTAATTGACTTTCAACTTTACATGATATTTAATCTACAACACATCTAAATTCCTATATTCTCTCGTAGATTACAGCATATCTTAACCCCTAAATTCTCGCAACACATCGCTTCTTCTAAACCTCAGACCGAGGACAGGTCTTTTCCTTGTGCAAGAGCGTGGCGTATGAACAACATTTCTGGGCTTTCGTGTCATAGTAACGGTAACCACAGCAACTCCAGTTCTTTTTGATGGCGTAGATATCACCGCAGCAACACTTCTGTGTGATAGGACTGAAAATATTTTGACCACAAGCTGCGAAAAGAAGAAAATGTTTCATTTAAATTTTATTGTACACCTTAGCTTCGTCCCTTCCTCTCTCGTTTCCTTTCACTTCATGAATGCTTCCGCTCTACACATTCTACCGTAAAGGCTAATTTAAACAAGGTGGTCCAGTTCATGTAGTATTTTACAATGAGCTGCCAACGTGGTTTGTGTCTGAACTACCTGAAGTGTCATCACAAACGTAGTCGTCCAGTGTGGGTATAGATATCTTTTTCAGGTAGTTCTGCAGACACAAACCACGACAGCTTATTGTGTAGAATACTACCTGCACTGGATCAACCACCACGTTTGAGATATCTTTTCCATGCAGGTAGTTCAGATACAAACCACGACAGCTTATTGTAGAATACTACCTACACTGGACGACCACGTTTGAGATATCTTTTTCAGGTGTTCAGACACAAACTAGGACAGTTTATTGTAGAATACTACCTACACTGGACGACCACGTTTGAGATATCTTTTCCAGGTAGTTCAGACACAAACCACGACAGTTTATTGTAGAATACTACCTACACTGGACGACCACGTTTGAGATATCGTTTTCAGGTAGTTCAGACACAAACCACGACAGCTTATTGTAGAATACTACCTACACTGGACGACCACGTTTGAGATATCTCTTTCGGGTGTTCAGACACAAACCATGCATCAAAGTTTATTGTAAAATATACTACCTACACTGGACTACCACGTTTGTAGTATCATATATCTTTTAAAACATTTTGTTATAAACTTACTGAAGAATGGGCACTGCTTAAAGTGGTAATCACACAGCCAACGTGTTTTTGTACAGACACTGTAAAAAAGTTTAAAAAATAACAAAAGATCAGATTTTATTGTGATACAGTACCTTTACGAACGATGACTCTTACTGGACTCCTATAGGGAGAACAGTTTACCATGTATAAGGGAAGAGTTTAGTTGCAACTGTTTATCGTGTATAAGGGTAAAGGGAAGAGTTTAGTGTGTTCATTAATACTATTACCATTTCAAACATTGGCATAGCAAAACTGAGCCTTCATTGTGCAGTTCATGTACATTCCAGCGACATCCTGAAATATTAAGATAACGAGGTTAAACAATACTCCTTTATAAATCGTCTGTGGTCAATGGCGCCTTCAGCACCATGGTGCCCTCTGTTTAGAGGGAAACTGCTCAGAGATGTAGCCACATGGGGGGAGGGGGCAAATGGGAGGGGGGGGGGGTCCGGGTTCCCACTATTCTTCACGACAAATTTTGTAATTCTTTCGAAATGGGGGGAGCATAGCCTCTTAATCTGTGGCTTTCTGATTATCATAGAACGTGTCGAAAATGTATGAAATAGCATTTCACAGACTCTACAAATAGAAAAGACGATTCGACCCTCCACGTGTTTGCGATTAGCTACACCCCTGAGCCTTCAGCTAATTTGTACTACTGTTGTGTACTGCTACAACTGTACTTACTCATATCTTGAACGACAGACGCGTCACCACGCTTCGTTAAACTTTCATCATCAGTTGTGTTGGAACCTTCAATGATCCTCACTCCCATGTAAGCGTCTGGCATTGGACCACCCTCGTTCTCAGCTTCATCTTCAGCTGTTTGCAAGGACAGATCACTTTTAATTTATTTAAGGTTACTTCACATGATGAACGTGCGTTTTAGTTTATTGAACATGGCGCAACGAATTTTAGGTGTAACTTTACCAAATTTTTAGTGAAGAAAGCCAATAAAATGCTGATTTCGAAAATCTTCATTTGATGGGTGTTCTGTTTAAACATGTCCAGTATTGGCTGACTAAAGATATACATAGGTATCCCATAAAAAAATCAAAATATATTTATAGTTTACCTCAACGTTTGTCTACATATATCGATTTGAATCTTCATAGGTACGGTAAAAAAAATGTGTGCGGAAAATTTCTCTTCTTCAATGGTTTTTCTGATATGACGTTTTCTTTGACAACTTGGTGAATTATCAGTGACAAATCCAAGAATCAGGGCATATCAGAAAAACCACTAAAGAAGAGAAATTTTCCGCACACGTTTTTTTTTTACCATGCCTATGAAGATTCGAATTGCGATATCTAGACAATCGTTGAGGTAAACTATAAACATATTTTGATTTTTTTATGAAGGTACCTACATATTTACTCAGTCAGCCAATACTGAAAATGTTTAAACAGAACACCCATCAAATGACAATGTTCGAAATTAGCATTTTCCTGGCTTTCTTCACTGAAAATTTGGTAAAGTTACACCTAAAATTCATTGAGCAATGTCCAATAGACTAAAACGCACGTTCATCGTGTGAAGTAACCTTAAGTGAGTATTGGTCTCACATTGGTTCGATCAGTGGTAGACACCAAGAGAGGGTGGGGTGGGGGACGGGGGGGGGGAGTCTGAAGGACATTAAAATCTTAAATGTGAATTGATATCGCAATGATTCGATAAACGGTGTCATTTGACAACTAAAAGCCTGATCTTTATAAATACGAAAAGAGAAAACCTATAAACGTGATAATTAACACACCATATAACCTGTCAAACCTATGACCTGTTTTTTGATCACCTATATTTTTCAGTTGGATTAACCCTGCGTAAATACAGTATAGTTTTAAATTCGGTTTTAAGATTAACACTTACGTTCACTGCTAACAATTCCATAAGCCAAAAATAATACAAATAGCGCCGAAACGAATTTTGCCTTCATTTTGGAAACTATAAGAAAGAGAAAATACAAAAGGTCAAAGTCGATGTCCAACATCCACTCGCGACAGACTATATTATAGTACAGAGCAAAAATTATGCATAACATATTAAAATCTTAAATCGATCCAGTTGTCATCGGCATTTGCAATTTATCTGTGAAACAATGATATGAACTGACATTCGCCCTTTCACCAAAAAATCGCGATAGCGTTTAGCTAGTAAAATCCAATTGAGGGCACTCATCGGCTGCCATATAAGCGACCAACAGGTCACATTCTGTAGCGGCGGGAAAAATCACCTATCCGATACGGAATGTACAACTTTCAGAAGCTGAGCGAAACAACATCTCTCCGTTGCAATAATTCCTCTGAAAATAGCGTTCCTAAAAGGTACAGATAGGTGTTTTTTTCACGTCGCTACGGACAGCTATCTGATACAGTCTAAACGTATAGCCTAAGACATTGACACTGGTATTAAACATAGTTTGCCATTGAACACTTTTCGCCATTCAGTCAAGAGATTAATTCAAGAGACCGTATCATAACACACTAAAAACAACGTTTATTATATATTAAAATACAACACTCAACGTACCTATTTATTTGTGCTGCTATAGATGTCTTCGCGTTGTTAGTGAAATTAGTTGCAGAAAGTGACACCCCTTAATTTGACTAAAGTTATTGTATAAACAGCAACTAAAATATCTAAAGATCTTTGAATGTAACATTTCTAAAGCGTTTTGTTTAACACAATGCTTCCTGAATTGGGTTTTTTAAATGTGTCTTGTTAAACACAAAAACCTTTGTCTTTGAAGTCAAGGGGACTTTAACAGCTATTTGCAAAGTCGTTTGTGACGTATTAAGGGTTTCGGTTAAAGAATCTTGCATGACCAACAAAACAAGGCATCTTTAAATTCTTTGTTTTTTTCAGAGTACGGTATAGAGCTTGTTCTTTTGCAAATGCTGGGGTTGAGATTTAGTAAAAGAATACAAAAGATTTTTCTATACGTCTTCTGTTAGTCACCTGAATATAAAGATTAATATACGACAAAACTATTGTCTATACCGATAACTTTGCTAAACTAAAATGAATGAACTTTATTCACGCTGACTTTATTCGCGCTTCAAAGCTCTATCACTTTTGTCTAAACTGTTTTCCTTAAAATAAAGGCCTATAGTAATGGTTATCTCTTTTGATCCATTGCTACCACAGGAGGAAACCCAAATGAAACTAACTTTATTTATACTTAAGTATAACCTAACAGTAGCTAATTCTAATCTGTTCTCCTTATAGAGGCCCAATATAAGGGTCATTCCTTAATATTGCATGGTCCATTTCTACTACAAGAGGAAAGCTAAACTAAACTAACTTTATTATGTAATAGGTGGAAATCAAACTAATGCAGTAAATTGGATAACTCTATGATCAAATTTTTTTGCCCTAATGAAGAGGTCGGACCAATGTTATTATACCTCATGGGAAACCTTAGCTTTTGCAACACAAATTAATATATAATATTTTTTATATAATTAAATGAAATTCTATTAAATTATTTTGAATTTCTTGTTCACTTTTGCACAACGTAATCATCCATGCGATCATAAAGTTCGTTAAATTTATAGAAGAAAATTTCTCTCAAATTTTGAGTTCGAAAAGTCACTGTTCGGAATTTTCTTTGTCTTCCATGAGATATATCATGTATTCATTGAAAGATATTCTCCAGAGGGCCACCTTTTAGTGTTCACACCTTGGGACTGGAATCGAGTTTTGCCCAAATATGTTCATGATCACCTAGTTCCCAACCGAGAAGCCCTGGAAACGAGGAGGTGTGATCACGAAAATATTTCGTGCATTCAATTCCTGTAGCAGTATGCAATGCATTAGTTGACTGGTTACAATGTTGCCTCACTTGCATGGCTTACAAAAGTGCAATAACTCCATTTTGACCAACATGATAGATCACCTTGCTGGATTTCTGGAAATGATAGAGTTATCAATAAAAATAGTGTAGAAACACTGGATCAATAAGAGATGATCCTTACTGGACTTCTAGGGAGAACAGTTTAGAACTGATAGAGTTATCCAGTATAAATATAGTTAGTTTAGTTTAGGTTTCCTCCTGTAGTGACACAGACACTGGGTTAATAAGAGATGATCCTTACTGGACCCCTAGCGAGAACAGTTTAGAACTGATAGAGCTATCCAGTATAAAGAAAGTTTGTTTAGTTCAGGTTTACTCCTGTAGTAACACTGGATCAACAAGAGATGATTCTTACTAGAACTCTATAGGGAGAACAGTTTATAGAACTGATGGGGCTATCCAGTATAAAGAAAGTTAGTTTCCTGTAATAACAGTGGATCTTTAAAGGTTTGCTATACTGGACCACTAACAGTTTAGATAGATCAATCCAGAATAAACTAAGTTGGTTTCCAATTTCCCGACTAGCCGCTCTATAAATATAAGTTGAATCTAAATTAGTCGTGTATGTAGACGGAGTTACAGTAACTAAACATAAATAGAAATTTCCATTCCGATCCCACTCAAACAAGATCGTTGACATGACAATTATACTTCATTATCCACTTCTCAATTATCAGAGAACAAACTATAAAATTAATGTAAAAATAACTAATACACGTTCAAACTAAAACACACTATAAATCAGACTTTACTTTAATTAAAATTATCAAGCCTAAACTGTCCTCCCTAGAGGTGCATGGTAAGATTCATAATTTTTGTTCAAGTGTTATTACATGAGGAAACCTAAACTAAACTAACTTTATGTATACTGGATAGCTCTATCAGTTCTACACTGTTCTTCCTATAGAGGTCCAGTAAGGATCATCTCTTATTGATCCAGTGTTACAACAGGAGGAAACCTAAACTAAACTAATTTTATTTATACTGGATAGCTCTATCAGTTCTAAGCTGTTCTTCCTAGAGGTCCAGTAAGGATCATCTACTATTGATAAACCTAAACTAAACTAACTTTATTTATACTGGATAGCTCTATCAGTGCTAAGCTGTTCTTCCTAGAGGTCCAGTAAGGATCATCTCTTATTGATCCAGTGTTACTACAGGAGGAAACCTAAACTAAACTAACTTTATTTTATACTCGATAGCAAGATCAGTTCCAAATTTTTCTCTCTAATAAAGGTGCAGTAAGAGTCTAGATCTCCTCTAGCTTATTGATCCAGTGTTACTACAGGAGGGAACCTTAGGTTACAGTCTAAACTAATACTGAATTAAACTATAAACACTCTTCTCTCATAAGACAAAAGAGACATAACAAGCAGTCAACAGCATATTGCAATAATCAAAATTCGGTCGCAGTGATAAAAACCCATTCCCTAGCTAATCCCTGTAATTATCACGCCAGCCACTTCACAGACAAAGACGCAGAAAATATTACAAACATATCTGAGTAGTCAAGGGTGCATGGGATGGCATCATTAACGCTGGATTGGCCTTGATGACAAACTATGTCTGTGGCGGCAAAGTGTAGTCCAAGTGTGGTCGAAATTGCGCCTAACATCGGATATGTCAGTATACACACCGCCATTTTGTTGTGATGTACACATAACCCATAACACTGAAAGATGTTTTACAAAAATATGATATTTTATCGAATGTTGCATTTTATCGTTTCCGAAAAAGTCCGAATCGAGTGTTCCTGTATGCATCGCCATTTCGGTTGTGAAGACACGAAAACCATAAAACTGAAAGATGGTTTACATAAACAATAATCATTCTATCAAATGCTGCATTTTATCGTTTCCGAAAAAGTTTGAATCGTGGTGTATAAAAGGGGCAAGGATTAGAGCAAGAATCATATCGCAACAACTGGTCTTCACTTGTACACTGAAGAAGAAAGAAGATTTGAAGAGACTTAGTGGTAATAACTGAAGGAATAGATTTGAAAATGAAATTGGAAACTACAGTTCTTCTCGGTTTGGTGGTTTGCTTTGCTGTAGTAAACGGTAGGTAAAACTCTAGTTATTATACTGTATCGTATGAAGGCTGCTTAATTTACATGCAGCTATAAGATAGGTTTCACATAACACTATCGTGCAACAGATGCATGGTGGTCAATCTGCAGTTATCAGAATGAGAAAATAATGTTTATTCTTTTCCTGATAAATGTCTAGCTTGTTTATTTTAGCAAGAAAATAATGTTAATACTTTTACTGTATTAGCCTTAAATTTCCATTCTTACCAAAACTACATGGTAACATTTAGCTTCAAGCATGAAGCTCGAAGCATGCATTTATATAGTACTATACAGGCCCCAACTATAACTCTACCGGCTATATCTTTTTACTTATAGGAGTGCACCATGCGTCACCGGAATATGATGGGCAATATACACCAGAGCCCCCTACTCCTAAAGAAGAGGCTGGGCCCGTGGAAGAGGAGTCAGGCGGACACGAAGCGAAGCCTGGGGAAGAAACTGGCGGAGAGGCTGGCGAAGAGAATGGGGGCAAAGGTGGCGAAGAGACTGGAGGCGAAGAGACTGGAGGCGAGATGGCGAAGAAACCACCAAAGGAGCATCCTGAAGGCATGATGGGCGGTGATACTGACGCAGAAAACCATAAAGGATGTACGTAACACATACAAAAATGAGATTAGAATTAAAATAATTTTATTTATACTCGACAACCATATCAGTTCTAAACTGTTCTCCCTACAGGTCCAGTAAGCGTCCTCTCTAGTTTACCCAGTGTTGTTGCAGGAGGAAACCTAAACTAAACTTACTTTATCTATACTGAATAGCTCTATCAGTTCTAAACTGTTCTTCCTGGAGGTCCAGTAAAAATCATCTCTTGTTGATCACGTGTTACTACAGGAGTAAACCTAAACTGAACTTATTTTATTTATACTAGATAGCTCTATCGGATCTATAAACTGATCTATATAGAGCTCTGGTCAGAACTCCCCATAATACTAAAACCCAATGGCTATAAATTTCTGAACTTTTCTGCTTTCGTTCTAGACTGTCACTGGGATATTGGTGTGTGGATGAAACCAGGAGTCTCTCGACGATGCGGTTGTATGCGATGGTAAGTAATAAGACAAATCTACTGTCTAAACGGCTCTCCCTAGAAACGGCTCTCTCTGAAATATCACTGTAAGGGAAACCGAGGTATCTGAAGAAAACCTACTGTGCACTGGTGCTTGAAAACGGCCTGAATAGCCTGTGCGGTTTATTGCATTCGCATGTGGGTTTTCATTGTAATATACTTGTTGCCGAACCAATCCCGAAATATCGTTCAACATTGTCATATATCGCATTCAATTTTATTCTATTTAGCATGTGCAAAAAAGGAGGTGTCTGGGATTGTAATTACCACTTCGCCTACTGTCCATACTTCTGTAAGTATATCTATATGTTATTTTATATTTTATACACAGCCAATATATAGGATACAATGAAGCCTGACTCAGTTGAGTTCTTATCTTAAGGCTAGACTTTCAAAAAATATCAAGCCTGACTTGGCAAACCAGGAAACATTGTTTCCCAGTCATGTTTCCCAAGAATGGGCGGAAAACTAGGAAACATTGTTTCCCAGCCATGTTTCCAAAGAATGGGCAACATTGTTTCCCAGCCATGTTTCCCAAGAATGGGCGGCAAACTAGGAAACATTGTTTCCTTGCCATGTTTCTCCGAAGGTGGAAAAAGCATGAAACCTGATATTGTTTCCTAGCCATGTTTTTCATATATTAGACAGAATCAAAAAATGTATCTGAAATGGTAAAATAAATTTTTGTTCACCAGTTTAAAACCAGGATACACATAATTACATTGTCTGACACAACTTTCTCATTCATTTTTTAAGATTGTGGCAATTTGATCTACAATCCTCATACTCAACTCTGTTGCTGTGGTAAGGCTTACGACAAGAAGGCCCACCATTCATGCTGTGGTTACTACTATTATGACATCAGGCACAACAAATGTTGCAATTACTACTCTGTGAGGGGAGCCAAATCACACTGCCCACGTGACAGAGTCTGAAATGCCACGAAGCACGCATAATTCTGCAACGTGCAGTTAATATTATTCTGTCTTTAGGCAGCTTATTATAATTCTTATTCGGTATAATTTTTTTAATTAATATAATGCATGCTTTACCCAAGAGTCAACAAATATCATTGCCTTCATATATTTTGTTAATTTGTAATTTTAGAGTTAAATATTTTAAACAGGCTTTTGCATGCAAGCTTTATATGTTGATGTAGATTTCAATTGTGAGAATGATTAATAAATATTTTTAAACAGAGGCCATTGTATTATTTTTATCTGAGTTGAGCATGGTAAGACCATGTAGTGACGAAATGTGGGGTGCACGAGTGAACACCTTTGCACCAGCACTGCTAAATTAGGCTAATTGTTCCCAGTTGTTGACAAGTCTGGAACAAGTTGTTATCATCTTGTAACAAGGTTGATGAGGCCAACAGATTCGTAACAAGTTTATCCAACAAGTCTGATATAATAACAACATAAAACGCTCACTGAGTTTCCAGCGATATACATACCCTTTTCTAGGTATATACCTAATAATAATAAACGAACGAACGAATGTATTCCTTCCACTCGTGAGCTCATTTGCCATTGTCACATATGGTAAATGTCCAGGCCTTGTGACCCTGGATGGGCACTTAAAAGGAAAGAATACACACACACAAAGATTTATTCAACCATTAAAAGAGAACGATTGAACAACTGCGCATGAACGAACGTTCAAAGTGAAATAATTAATAATTTTGTAGGTGGCTAACAAGAGGCATTCACTTTGAACGTTCGTTCATGCGCAGTTGTTCAATCGTTCTCTTTTAATGGTTGAATAAATCTTTGTGTGTGTGTATTCTTTCCTTTCAAGTGCCCATCCAGGGTCACAAGGCCTGGACATTTACCATATGTGACAATGGTAAATGAGCTCACGAGTGGAAGGAATACATTCGTTCGTTCGTTTATTATTATTAGGTATATATCTAGAAAAGGGTATGTATATCGCTGGAAACTCAG